CGAGAGGGATTAAAGGACAGTTTGTCCATCTTGAACAACCAAATGTGTTCTATAAAAAACTGACCAAAGATGGTCTGGTCTTTGGCCTGTACATGCATTTACCTGTTAAATTTAATCAGTAAACTAGTAAACTGGAAGGGGTTGATGGACTTGCTATGTCTATTGGGACTAGCAATGCAGAAGGTGGGAAGAGAGGAACTGAACATCTGAATTCCAAGAGGTATGTGAATTAAATCCGCTGGTGGGTCAGGCTGGGTTGTGGAGTTCATCCTTTTTTGGGTATCTTTTTCTCAGCCAATTAGTTCTAATTAATTTAGTAACGGTTTGCAGTAGGGGTGGGAAGAAAAACGGGGAGCAGATTGGGAAGAAGAGTTATACACTTTGCTAACCTACCAATTAAACTATATCAACATGGAAACTAATGGGTCGAGTGATGGAAGTAATGCAACTACGGTGAGTAGGTTTCCGTGATTTTGAAGAAAATAAATTACATGGTTGGAAAGAATCAGAACTGTTTATTTTTTATCCCCTAATAACATAGTATCGGACTATTGATGAGAAAAAGTTCACTTTCTATTTTTTTGCAGGTGCGTTAAAACTCGAATAAAGGAAGTAGGTCCGACAACTCCAACAAAAGGTACGAGTTAACAACCTATTTAGCTGATTGTAGAACTTCTTGCATTATTAGTCTAATGTAATGTAATTGATCCTCAAACTTCCTCACAGCCGATCAAACCTTAAAAAGCTATCCAGGTATGATACTTTTGTGAGCAAAACGAACCCTTTGTGTGTTTATAGTTTTTTCTTTTTCTTCTTGATAGCTTTAGGCACTATGTTTACGAGTTTCCCTTTTTCATCCTTAACAGAATTGCTAGGAAGGAGAACTAGAATAAGGTTAAGGAAGTTGGGAGTTATGTCACCATCACTTTTCCGTTGTAGGTTTATTATTGTCACCATCACAGGATGATAAAGTATCATCTTCATCATAATTAGTGTTGGTAATTATGATTAGTAATTATGTTGTTCTAACTTGCAGTCTCGAATGCAAGTTGGGAGTTATGAATGTGGTTATTATGTGATGTTGCATATGTTGAATATTGTTTCGGCGGTAATTCTTGAAATGTGGGATGAGGTTGATCCATGTAATGATTTTTAATAACCTTTTTATTTAATTTGTAGCGATTCGCCAATCCGGAACTATTCTCATCAGAAGAGAATGATGAAGTACGAACTTGTTGGATATCATATTTCCTAGAAATGACGCAATCCATCAACGACACATGTGCAATGACACATCATATTTAAGTTTTTGAGTGATGATGAGACTTGTAACTTTATACAATGTGTTATTACTCTAGACTTGTGAAAGAATTGTTTTATTTTAGCTTATTATTATGTACTAAGTTGTTACTTGAACTTGTTTAACATTTGTGGAAGGATTGAAAAATAGCTTGTGTTATTATTTTAGATGGATCAAGTGAAAAATTGTGCTATAGTAGTTGATGATACTGTTAATGATGTGATTATAGTATAAACGGAGGTCATATTGCAAATTTTTTCTTAAAAGATACCGAAAAAATGAATCTTTTCACATCAGTTATAAAATAACTCATTTGATTGTTTTTCTACATGGGTTATAACCGATGTGAAACACATATGTTCCAGAAAAAATGAAGCTTTTCACATCACTTGATAAAATGACCGATATGAAATCTTTTCTACATGGGTTATAACCGATGTGAAAACCTATGCTTCGTGAAAAATTGAAGCTTTTCTACATCAGTTGTAAAATAACCGATGTGATTACTTTTCTACATGAGTTATAACCGATGTGAAATATCATTTAAAACGCCGTTTTGGACTATCTTCTAGATCGGGCACTGAACGACTGATGTAGAAAGAATTTCTACATCAGTTCATTGACCGATGTGAAAAGTCAATACTTTTCACATGGGCTGGAACCACATCGGCTGTTTGACCGATGTGAAAAGCCTTTTTTGTACTAGTGTATCTCGATTGTTTTTCTTTTCTGGTTGTTTTTGTTCTGTTCTGTGGTAGTTCGTCCTCCTCTGGAACCACCACCATGCCGTAACGAGTTCTGTTGAAAGGCTTTATATCAATTTTATTTGTCCTTTGGTAGTACTGATTGTTACTCCCTCCGTCCCTGAATTATCTTCAAACTTTCCTTTTTTGTCCGTCCCTGAATTATCACAGGAGAACAAGGCTTGAAAACCAAGCCTTCGGCACCTGCAGCCCTCGGCAGGTAGGAGCCCTCGGTTAGAAGAGCCGTCGGCCCAGCACCCTTCAGCCGAAGGCATCCACCTCGACAGAATATCCTCTTCGCATGCGCCTGGATCACCGTACCAAGTACAAATGTCACGTCCAACCACCGCATTCAATGTGGCCACATGCGAGTGCTAGTGCCACCCCGGTCGAGGTGACCCCTCCGCAATAACCTCTCGGATAAGCTACCCCCCGGGTACACTATCCATCTGTAACACCCCGGCCCCGTAGGCCCCGAGGTAGTTACTTCTGACCTCTAGTACTGTCCTCACAAACCGCCACTAGCCTTTTCCGCGCACTTTGTCCTCACTCGTGCGCGCCCTGAGAAACTTCCCAGGGGGTCACCCATCCCAAGACTACTCCCGTGCAAGCACGTTTAACTTTGGAGTTCTTGGCTAATGAGCTTCCTTAAAAGGAGATGCACCTTGTTGGTATGAGTAGTACTATTAATCCATTTAAATTAAATCTCAAGTGTTACAATCACCCCCACTTAGGAACGCAACGTCCTCGTTGCGCCCATAAACCAATCTCAATCATATCCCAGAATCTTTTCCCCTGCTAAGTGCCCGCCCAATATCCTACGGATCAGCACACTGTCGCAGGGTTGCTCTGATACCATTTGTAACACCCCGGCCCCGTAGGCCCCGAGGTAGTTACTTCTGACCTCTAGTACTGTCCTCACAAACCGCCACTAGCCTTTTCCGCGCACTTTGTCCTCACTCGTGCGCGCCCTGAGAAACTTCCCAGGGGGTCACCCATCCCAAGACTACTCTCGTGCAAACACGCTTAACTTTGGAGTTCTTGGCTAATGAGCTTCCTTAAAAGGAGATGCACCTTGTTGGTATGAGTAGTACTATTAATCCATTTAAATTAAATCTCAAGTGTTACACCATCAAATAGATTGTGCTAAAATTGTCTCAATAGACATTGTAGACCTTGTGTAATGAATGATGAAGTTCAAGGAGAAAGTTATAAAACAAACATGATTGAGCAGCATCACTGACATGCCTCAATACTTGTCTTTAGAACTAGAACAACAATGTCTCGATGGTCGCTTTGAGGACCAAGTAATTAGATTTTCACCCAACATATGGAGTATATGGGCATGGACCAACGAGTATCAGGATGGCCACCCTCACTGGTATCGAAATAGGCTACCAAAGATGTAATGGTAAAAAGATGGAGATGCATACCGGAAGAGTCCCTTTGGATGTATCAAAGTATGTGTTCAATAGGATGAAAGTTAGGCTCTCGTGGATGTTGCATAAAGAGGCATTTTAGAACAACATTAAATATATTGAGGAGAGTAAACGTCAAGTATCATAAGGTGCCGACTAAACTTCGGTCGTTTGGGATTGGCAATGGAATGACTCATGGTAGCATCTAGGGGTGGGCAAACAGGTACATGAATTACGAGCCGGGTCGGGCAATACATGTTCAAGTGGTTTAGGGCCGGGTCCTAAATTTAGAAAAACCAAATTAAATTAGGCAGCTTCTAAAAAAATCAGGAACCGTACGAGTATTAAAAGTTGAAAAAATAGATGCCCACACTAACCGGTTCTAAGATATTATTTTAATAAAGTCTATTATATTTAATATAATATAATAACAACACCCGAAATGTCTTCATATTTATCATTTATGAGTATATTCAAAAGAGTTTCAAAGTCCTTATAAATTTATTAATTATTATCCCCAATTCTTTATTTCAAATGCTTCCAATGTTTTTGTAAATAAAGACTCTTACTAAAAAAGTGTGACATATCATTTAATTATCTTAATTTTACTCACATTTTGGAATGTATTAAACTTTAAATTGTTCTCTAAAACATATATGTATAGTCACTAGTCTAATTTCCTATGACTTTGTGGTGCTATTTTTTAGTTTATGGATGATGATGTCTAAATTTTTACATTTCAAAATTTGGTGTCATTTAATATGAGTGGTTGTGTGCTATTAGTTTATAGATTTGATGTTAGATATTTTGTTAAATAATTCAAAACTTTGTTTTATATTTTTATTTTGAATTTTTACTAGATTATGGTGACATATATATACTTAATTAGTTTGAAAATGTTGTTACCTACTAGATATTATTTTATTAGTATAGCGGTATTTTTTAAAAAATTAAAAACTAAGAACTCGGATCGAACCAGTCCGTCTCAAATAGGACGGTAAGGTCCAGTTCCTATTTCAAACATGAGTATACTCAGACCGAACCTACCTGTTAAATGGAATCAAGGATTCTTAAAAGCTGATCAGTTACTCGGACTGATTTGGACCGCGCCCACCCCTAGTAGCACCTATTTTAGAGTTGGTATCAGCTCGAGTAGTAGAGGGAATTTATGTTGATATAATCACTCAAGCCATGATTTTTTATGCATAATTTTTCTGAGGAAAAAAACATCCATTGAAATGCCAAGGAAGTACATGAGGGTCTCCAGATCCTTCATGGAAAATGTTGCAGCAAGTTGATTAATAACAGCGTGGAGGACGGAGTTGGATGATGCGGGAGTAAAGGAAGATCAGAAGATGCCATACAAATAGAGGAGTAGCAAAGCCATATCCCAGTCCCAATAAAAGTGATATTAATGGGTAACAAGTGAGTAGATGACACAAAATATCATCCTATAAAAATAGCATGAGTATAGTAGCAATAAAGGCAATTCAACAATCATACTACACATAAGAGTATGTACTCTATCAACACATTGATTTCACTTGCATTTTTTTAGTTTGCATATTAATCTTCATTATATTAATATCATTTCACATTTAAGGTTTGGCAATCAAAACCTACACAAGTATCTTTTTTTTTCAAATAAGATATGATAACACTAAAAATTTATACTTCATATATAGCATGGGGTTGGTGCACTAAACCCCTTAGCATTTAATACCTCATCATCAACTTGTCTTCTCACTTAGCTTTTGGAACTACATGTTTCCAGTACGCAACCAATATTCTTTCACAAGCTCGCCAAATAGTGACCCTTCTTCACTAATAAGCTTCATTGGATTGTTATACTCTACCACCTTACCTGCCAATGTTACATAAACCTTAATAATGTTTTTTATATGGAAAAAAATAATCTATAGTGCTAAGGGTTTTTGGTTGGGTGTGGTATTTTGGTCACACCAAACGAGTTATATACTTAAAAATAATAAATCCTTGATAGCTGTTCAATTTAAACCTTACTGTTATTAAAATATACTACTGGTGTAGTATAAGGTTTATAACTTACCATCACTTATAGCAAGCACCATTGTGCAATCCATGACTGTTGGTATTCTATGAGCCACTGTGATTACAGTGCAATCTGCAAACTCTTTTCTTATCGTTTTCTGAATAATTGAATCAGTTGCATTATCTATTGATGCAGTAGCTTCATCCAAGATTAGGATCTTCTTCCGCTTCAACAAAGCTCGTCCTAAGCAGAATAGTTGTCGTTGTCCCATGCTCCAGTTCGATCCATCTTGTACCACTATTAAATATATTTTGAGCTTTATTAATCATGGTTTTGTTCTTGACCTTAAAGAAATTCTAACATAAACTCTTATATTTTGAGACTTGAATCCACTTTTCTTTTATCAAGTGATGCATCAATCACACTTTTGACACTCATCTTTGAAAATTTTCACTTTATTACCCATTCGACTATCGTGATAAAGACGCTTTCGATATTTGACTTTCTACTACTAATCATCAAACTATATGAGAGTGACACTTATAGTACTCATCACTCAGATTCATTAAAATAGGCAGAAGACACCTTTGTCACTATGACCAAATGTAATAGGGAAAAATACAAAAGAAACTACTGAGAATGTGTATGTAATAATAGTCGTAGGGGTAAAAGTATAAAGCTCAAAGGAAATCAAAAGTATTCAAACAATAATCGAAGGACTAAAAGTGACAAAAACTATTTCTTTGCACAATTCTTGACTGATATTCTTATCAGGCATATGCATCAAGTTAAGTAATAAAACAAACAAAATAGAAGGTGAAGTATAATAAAAGTTACTTCACACGTTATGTTTACAAGGACTTGATTTTTCATCCGGATAGGTTAGCCTATAAGATGAGTAGTCTAACTTTTTTTAGCGTAATCTCCTTTGATACCATATTGAAACTTGTATCTCCTTCCTAAAACATTAATTTTATTAAAGGAGTAGCTCGTATGTGGTTGCTTAAGTAGGATGAACTTACAATGTGACTTACCCGTAGAGTCGAGCCCAACTTCTTTTTGTTGAACTGCATGTCTAAGTTGACACTTTCCAAGAACCTCCCATATTTCATCATCTGTGTGCTCTGACAAGGGGTCAAGGTTGTATCTGATTGTCCCACTGAAGAGTGTAGGATCTTGTGGGATGATTGACAACGATGATCTTAAGTCATGGATCCCAATCGTCGAGATGTTAACACCGTCAATGAAGATCGACCCTTCGGTGGGCTCCACGAGCCGAAACAATACGCTAATGAGAGTGGTTTTGCCACTACCTGTCCTGCCAACAATGCCAACTTTGTAGCCTCCTTCAATTGTGCAACTAATGCCTTGGAGAATCAAAGGAGCATTCTCATGATACCTTACCTATGAAAATCATATATGTTTTTAGTTAAACCATATGATCACGGGATAATAAACACATTTCCACATGGACTATTGACTAAACCTTGAGATTATGAATCTCCACTTTGCCTATGGAAGGCCATTCAGGTGTGGGTCGGTTGCTTTCTATAATTTCAGAGGCTTCACTAGGAATTTGCATGTACTGTTCTAGTCTTTCCACTGATACAATAGAGTTTTCTAGAAGACACTGATTCTGAACTGCATAAACTAGGCTTACATTTAGCGAGAGAGCATATGAAAGAGCCATCCCAATATACCCTGCAACAAGCACACCAACATAAAACACTCTATTTTCTGCTTTGGCTTCAGATAAAATTATTATTATGAGCCTGATGTAGCCATTTTCTGCATGCAGGTAGCCAACTGGAGTAACTAACTTTTGATCAAGATAAAGATAGTTTATTAGGACTGAAATTGCTTAATTTGTGATCGAACTAGCCTACTCGACCGAATTCTTTAGAAAATCATCATCATCATTACCCCAGTGCGCTCCCACCTACGATGGGGTAAGAGGGTCGGATGTACAGTCTTACCCCTGTACTAAAGCACATAGACTGTTTCCGGATGACACATAGTGAACATCGCGTCCAAAATTCAATTCTAAATTCAATTCTAAAATAAAGTATTAAATTCAATTCTAAAATAAACAAAAAAATGTAGATTTGAATTTATTTCTATAAGACTTTAATTGAATTGTAATACATAACAATTTTAGAACAACATATTTTTAAAAATATTCATTAAATAAAAATATTAGTTGTATTCATTTTTGTATAACTAACATTTTTCTGCAAAAAATTGATAAGGTAATTGTAAAGATTTCTTTAAAGTAAACATATTATATAACCCACATACATAACTTAAATGAAAAAAATGCATACCTTCTGAAGTAATAATATTTATATTCTCATTTATGTGAAGTGGTGTGGTTATTATTGATTCTTTATTTTCTAGATGAGTTTGAACTCCACAATTTTTACTTAGTTTTATCACTACATTCTTAGTCCTTATAAGTTATAAGACATATGATGAAGAGAGATATTATGGAGTCAATATTGCACCTTTAGATGGGATGTATTCAAAAATTATAAAGATTGCTAAACTTTCAACCATGACACAATATATTTTTCAAAAAAGGTTAAACAATTACTATACTCCGTATTAGTTTTAAATTTATACCGTGCCCGGGAGATAGTAAAAATAATGTATAAAATAGTCATCATATTTATCTCTGACTAATAAAAAGTTATAAAATGATAATAACTGTTGTTATCTTTATATATTAAACAACAAAGATCAAGGACACAAGAAGTTTATTTACTAATTCTCTATTAATGTTTAAGCATGTTTATGGAATATAAAATAGGGAAAAGGTTAAATAGACCATTCTACTATTTCCGATCAATCATTTAAGCCCATGTACTAAAAAACATTATATAAGTACACTTACTTAGCGTTAAAAAAAGTACACTTACTTTTAAAATACAATCAATCAAACCATTAAAAAAATAAAGTAGATGTTGGGTGTGTTTCGGAAAATAAAGAAAATTAATTAAAATAAATTAAATAAAATGACTAGAGAAAAACAAGAAAGGAGATGAAGCAGAATTAGCCAAAGCTCGTGCTACGCACGATTTCCTTAAAACGTATTTGTTGCCTCCCACGGTGCTAGGAGCGTTGCAACAATCGTTTCCCAGGATACGATGACTACGAACTAATGTTTGAGCACACAAACAAGAGTTCCAGCGAACGAGAACCAAGTATGAACACAGAAGGAATTTTGGGAGTAGCTGGAAGAGTTTTTAGCTCAAGAAAACGTGAGGAAAGTGTTGTGCGTTGTCAAACCGTTTGTTTGTTGCAAAGCACCTGCCAGCTATTTATAGGAGGATTTGTTGTGTGTTAAATGAGGTGTTAATGGACCTGAACGTTGGACATCAATGACCAGTCCGTTGGGCATTGAATCGTCCATAAACTGTCCATTTAACGCAGCATTAAAAGAGAAGAACGTTGGGCATTAATTGTTGTAACGGAAGAAATGCGCGGCAGAAGACCCCAACAGAACACCCCTTGGAGGGGTTTTGTCCGAAGCCAACAGAACACCCCTTGGAGGGGTTCTGTCCGAAGCCAACAGAACTCCCCTTCGAGGCCTTCTGTCCGGAGCACTTCTGGGAAAAAAATAAACGTTTCGGGAAGAAAACAAAAATTATCTGTATCTCTTGAGAGATAGATTTTTGGACGGCATTCGTGTCCGCAGGTCGCCCGCGCACACGAGTCGCGGTTTTTCTTCTCCTTTTCGGGATTTGATCGGCACCCCCTGCGCGTAAGAGAGAGGCTTTCCCTTTAGGAATCTTAACTCCTTAAAAGAGGCTTCCCTTTATAAGGGGGTGAAAATCCCTTGAGTTTTTCGGTGTGGGATAAAACACACTAGAAACTCATCATTTTTCCCAGTTTTTCCATTTCAACGAGTGAACTTTGAGAATCAATTTCTCATTCACCCGTTATCCGTTTTGAGTGTACCACATATCGAATTGTAGCCCTTAACAAGGACAATCCGAAACCACTTTGACCCGACCCAAATCGGAAGTGGACCCCACTCAAATAATTGCCCCAAAATGACCATTTAATGCAATTTTTTAACACATTTTTCCAACAGTAGACTATTGACAAATCTTACAAAAATTCATATAAATTTGAAAAATAATGTAATAGTAATATAAATGTAAAAATAGATAAATATTTTAAATATGTTAAAATAAAAAACAAAAAGAAAATAAGAAAATTGAAAAAATAAAGTGAAAATGTAAAAAATATAAAATAAATATGTAAACACCTTTTGAATAGATGTAGAATGTACAGAATATTTCAAAAAAATATTGAATTTGACATTCAGACATTTTCCACAATCATTATATTCATATTTTAACAACTATTTAGCTATTTTTAATATAAAAAACTTACTATTACAAGTCCAAAAACTGATTACAAGTACATAATATATATGAATATATATATATATATATATATATATTCATATTTTAACAACTATTTAGCTATTTTTAATATAAAAAACTTACTATTACAAGTCCAAAAACTCATTAAATTGCCAATTTCAATCACTTTTTCAAAGCAAACGTACTCATCTGTTACTTTTTTAGCATAGGAGTTTAAGTGATTGATTAGAGATAATATAAAAGCTTATTTGACCATTTTGTTTATAAAATATGGGTTCGAGGAAGCATGTTTTACACTTATTTATTTAAATTAGTTTATCTATATTCTTTAAAAATAACAGTATCAAGCACATACAAACATTTCAATGGGATAAATTTCTGCATAGAAAAAGACAGAAGACTAACCAGATTTAGAGGCTTCAAAAGGGATCAAAGACATGGCGAGAGCAATGGATGAGAGAACGATAGCGCATACTGCTTCCAACCGTTCGATCAGCCATTCCGTGGATGAAAATCTGTGAAAAGAAGAAGTTGCATTCTTGTCAATGACGTGCATATACTCTGAGCAGAACCTTTCCTCCTCCCCGAAAGCCCTTATCGTTATAGCCCCAGCAATGGACTCGGCAAGATGACTAGCCACCGAAGACTTGGTTGTTCCATCAATTCTCATAAGCTCTTTTGCAGATGCATAGTACAATCTCTGAAAAGAAGAGCAGCAGCTTTAAAATTGACTACTGATTTAGTAAGGGAAATTTGGGATTACCCTGTATTTGGCATCTTGTGGTTTATATTACTCCCTTCATATGGTATGTTTTTTATTTGAAAGTTTCATATGGTATGTTATTGCCTATTGTTTTAACTTGGTACCTGTACTATAAAATGAAATTTGTGTGGCTAAAAATTGTGCTCTAAAGAAATGGAATGAACCACCTCTGAAGCACGAAAACTCTCGGGAAAGAGTATGTTTCCGTTCTGGAAACTCTTTAAATCATTGTTTTCCGTTTATTCATGGTTTTTACGTTTCCATGAAGCATAATGAACCACATAAGCTTTGGTATAGAAAGGAAAATGGAGTGAGTTTTAAAACGGGCAAAAAAAGAGAAGTATAAATTTATTGTGGGAAAGTGGGAGTAATATTTTATTTGCACGATCTAGCAGAGTGCAATGTCAAGAAAAAATTGAGTGTAAATCAAATTTAATGGAGTAGAAAGATCAACTTTGTTATATAGTTAGGCATATAGAGTCAGATGCTAGTCTCCCACACCTGTAAAACAATGGTGACATAAACGGTTGGAATAATGGCTATTAAGACTGGCCAATTAAGAGCAGCTAATACTCCCAAGCTGAAGAATGTTGTCATTGTTGCAGATCCAGCTTGGCTGAACTTCATGGCCAAGTCAAGGTCCACTACACTTAAATCCAGTGATACCTGTTAAGTCAAGATTGCATCATCAGTTTTAAAGTTCAACTTAGAAAAGTTGACAAACCCATGTAAATTATGTTGGAGAGACGAGATAGTACCATAGTAGATTCTTACCCGACTGAGTATTCTGCCAATAGGGGTAGAGTCGTAAAAAGACATCGGCGCTCTAAAAAGAGAGGCCATCAGCTTAGCAAATATAGATTTTGATCTGTTGAGGCCTAAGAAAATTATAGCATATGACCTAATAAGCAAGGTCAATGCCATGCCAAATCCTATGGCTGAGAATATTAAGATTAGATTCGTTTTGCTTAGAACAGGATTCCCTAAACCAGCAGCTAACCATAGGTTCTGACCCAACTGCCCAACCAAGAATGCTAAGTGGGCAATAATTATCACAAGAAGGTAAATGAAGCCATTGCTATGGCCTAGGTACTGCCTAAAAGGCTTCAGACCAGTGTTTCCGAATTCTCTTTCTTCCTGCTTAATCAACTGCTCCCCAACCACAATACATACTTCTGTTTCTCCATCTTCATCACAGCCCATTTTCGGAATACCTCTTGTGGAAGTTTTGGATCTAGTTTGTGTAACATTCGTCTCGGAACTCGCTGCCTCTCTGTGTGCACATACAAGGTTACTAAATTCTCTACAAGAGGTCAGCAAGTGAGCATAAGTATCCTCTTTCAAGATCTTCCCTTCAGACATTAACTGTAAAAACAAAATCAAATGTCCACATATGCTTTAACTTCTCATCCTAAAATATTATAGTATTCAGGGACAAAAATATGACTATGTGATGAATACTTTCAATGTGACCAATGTGATTACTGTGTACTAAAATTCAAGTTTTCCCCATTTTTTTATTTTAGTCTTTGATTTTTCACTCTTTCAAATTTGTCAATGTTGAGAACTAACAGTTTATTAATGTGTGTATCAGTGTATGTGTGTGGGTGTGTGTATTCAAGATAAGACAACCAACCAAAATGGAGTCAAATGCTGGGAGGAAGTCAACTTGGTGAGTTACTAGTAACACTGTTTTTGTTGAAAGAGCTCCCATAACATATTCCTGACAAAAAGAAACCAAATTTAAGCTTGGAGTAAAAAACAAGAACTAGATTCATTAATTTATGTAAGGATTATTGAGTGTGTACATTAAACAAATATGTTGCAGTGTGTGCATCAACTGCACTGAAGGGATCATCCAATAAATAAATGTCTGCATCCTGATATAGCGCGCGTGCCAGCTGGACTCGCTGCTTCTGCCCCCCGCTTAGATTGACTCCTCTTTCGCCTATTACCGTTTGGTCCCCAAAAGAAAGCATTTCAAGGTCCTTCTCAAGAGAAGACTTCTTCATGACCTCCTCATATTTTACCTTATCCATACTGGAACCAAATAAAATGTTTTCTTGTATTGTCCCTGTTTGAATCCATGCATTTTGAGAAACATATGTGACCTTTCCATGAACTTGAACCTGAAATATATTTCATTAAATAACTTGTTATGGAATGATGTGATATGTCTCAATTTAAAGATCAAGTTAAAATGTACTTCCTTAGTCACACAGATATAGCCCCTCTACCTCTATCTTTCAGCCCGCTTAATTAAGAGAAAGGAATTATTACAAATAAGACTAAAATATAGACAAAATACATGAGTAAGAGTCTTTATATTTTATTTTTAAAATAGGACTTACTCGATTCTGTTAAAAATATAAAATTTCCCTAATTAAGAGTGAATGAGTCTAAAGAAAATAATTGTGATCCTATTTATGCACTCTATCTAAGTTTGATCCTATTTAAGGAATATGCTCATCAAGAAATTGATATTTAAAGTAGTTAATCATTAAATTTTACATTAAGAGGGGTATGTTTGGGATAAAGCAATGATGATGTTTAGTATAGAAAGTGGTCTGTCTTTGTAGGATGGAGTACGCATATGTACCTCAACATCTTATGATAATTTCGGAAAGAGCATAAATATGATGTGCAACCCAGTGAATTAAGTTTCTTCACTTTTTGTCCTATTAACATGTCGTGAAATGTGGTCATTGAACTTTTGAATTTTTAGTCTTTTTGCCCCTTCTGGAAATGTGGCATCTTACTACTGTGATTTAGTACCTTTTTGGAAATTCACTTTTCCCGTAACAGTGACTTATACTACCTCCGGAAAAGATTCGTCATATTGACTTTTTTTTGTCAATGATGACAAACTTTGGACAATAATTTGAATAAGGAACATTTTGATATAATTTTCATATCCTAAATAATTTCGTATTAAAAAATATCACAAGTCAAAGTTGATTGCTATTGACCAAGAAAAGTCAATTTGGCGAATCTTTTCGGAACGAAAAGAGTCATATTTTTGGTCCTCTAACATGTGAGCACAAAAATAGTTGAACTACCAAAAGTTTGATTGACACAACTCAAAGATCAAAAGCTTTAATCCCAAAAGAATTTGGGGTCCGCTAACATGAAACGATCTGATGCCAAACTCAAATAGAAGGATAAAAAATGTTTCTCACAATAATAGTCGACCAAATGTGGAAAAACTCAAACAGAGAGTACTAAATGTGGAAATATGTATATTCATTGTGAAACTTACATTGCCGTCAACAAATGGAACCTCTCCAAGAATGGCAGCAATGAGAGTTGATTTACCAGAACCAACCTCTCCACAGATGGCTACCTTCTGACCTGCTTTAACATGAAGACTTATATCTTGTAGTGTTGGTGATTGAGGATTGTCATCCCAAGAGATCCCAGCACACTGAATCAAGATTTCAGGCTCTTTCCCATTACATTTATGCCCCTTCTGTAACTCAGGTGCCTCAAGAAACTTAATAATCCGTGCAAACGAAACCTTAGCTTCAATGAATGCTCCAAGAATATCAGGGATTGCCCTTACAGGATCCTGAATAATGCGCAAAGTAGCAAGAAATGTGAAAACATTACTGGCATTGAGAGGGATGTTCAGAACACAGCATGCCCAGAATGTCACTGCAGAGACTATAATTGGAGATGACCAGAACAAAACCATATAGTAGCTTTTCTGGAAAAGGACCAGTTTCAACCATCTGAACTCTTCTCTCCTCAGCCCTTCTATGCCTTTCTTGAAATGTGTCTCCCATGCATACAGCTTCAAGACCTTCATACTCATGAGGGCTTCTGTCACTGCCCTTAGCATTCTGTCCTGAGTCCCCATAAGCTCTGAGAGATACTTTTGCTGTAATTTAGCCACAGGAGAATTCACCAGAACACTCAACACCACTAATGCCACAGCGGGAACGGTCGCCCGTCCCACGGCATAGTACATTATGATAAGCCCGCAAAGGATCTGCAAGCACGTCGTCCATATCTGGTGTAACCAATACGGGAATTCGCCGATTTTATAGGCATCCACAGTGACATAATTCATTATTTCCCCTGGTGAGTGAATGGTCTTAGCAGTGTTTGAGAGCCTGAGCTGTTTTTCATAGATAGCTGCAGTCAGAAGTGATCTTACTTGTAGCCCGAACAGTCTCATTCTGAAAAACCATTGCCTTTCTGCAAGGGATTCTATGCTCTTGGCAAGAAGAATCCCAGCAGCCAGAGCATATCCTTCATACTCAAAAGCTCCTCTCCCATTTGCAACCTCAATGAATGCATATAGGAAGAGTGGACCCGTGGAAACTGCTAGGATCTTAACAAGTGCAAATAATCCAGAGACCAGAACAGATTTTTTCTGGCTTGCCAGAATGGCTGAGAAAACAGATTTAAGTTTCTGTCTCTCCAGATGCTCCTTATACATGAAGTACAATCTACCAGCCCGATCGGCTGATCGCAACTCCGGGATGTCATCTTCGTTTAGATTTCTCTCATTTCCCTTCCTTAGCAGTGGGCTCAGCCAGCCAAACAAGGCTTTGCTTAGAAACCCCGCCTTTGCAAATGGAGTAGTGAGATTATCTTCTGCATCCTCAAGTGCTTCATAGTAACAATCACTCTCTGAAATAATTTTTGTAGAGAACATTTTTCAGGGAAACGCTATTAAAAGAATCTTTTGACAACTATAAATTGGCTTGCAGCTGAATGCATAATGAAGTGACCCCAGGTAATATATATTTAGAATAGAAGTAATGTGACTGATATGAGGTGAGTTTGCTAAAAACATCTTCCATTTGCTTTAGGCTTTCAAATTTCTTCTATATATAATTTCTAATGTAGTACTCCCTATGTTAAATACTACCAATGATTCTTTCTTACTTTCCTTGCAGCAAAATAAATTTTTTCCTTTCATTTTTCATTTATTTATCCTAATATTGATTCGTTTTCCCCTTTTACATAAAGATCACGTGATTTATATCTTGAGTGAATTCGCTAAATAAAAATAAAACATGAACAAAATAAAGTGACAAATGTAACTTATGTGAAAATATGAATCACAATTAACTTTTAAATGTGAATCACGGGAAGTAAAAAAAGTAAGATAAAGATTGAATAGTTGCAGACCTTCAATACAATTATTAAATTTGGCGACAGATTGGCGAATAAGAAGAATAGACGACCGGACGGGTTAGCGAAAAAGAAGAATTAAAATCAACCACCACAATCCATAAAAAGCAAAAAGAAGAATACACGCGCGGGAAATACTCCTTTGATCCTTTCTCTAAATTAACCTAAAGTCTAAAAAGCATAACCGTGTGGGGAATTGGGGACCATTCTGTTTTATGGGTTTAATGCACCAAAATCCCTCGTGAAATATAAAATCGGCGTAAAACTCTTTTTATGAACAAATTTAATTGCAAAAATGAGAGAAATAATTAGTTTTTTGTATAATTTAGAAATTTTGACAAAGTTACTTGCATTTTCAATCATATTAAGAAAAGTGATTTCAAAAACTGTAAATTTGTCCTTGGAGGGAGTTTAATTTTGCGCATGAATAATTATAACACATGGGGGTTTGATGCATTTTTTAAATCACAAGGAGTTAATACGCCAAATTTTTATTTCACGAGGCGTTTTGGTGCATTAAACCCCATTTTTTATTTTCGGTAAGATATAATTACAAATTTATAATAGATGAATTATTAAATGCAAAGTGGAGACAACCATCACGATACTTCTTCCCAATTTCGTCTCGAGTTAAAGTCTTACTCATTATCTGTCAGTTTGTGATTAAAATTAAATTTGCATTCTTCCAATTAACTCTTCGACTGGTGCCGAGACTGTCAGGCATGAGGTATCAACATTTCTTTCCCAATTTCGTATTCAGATTTTAATTATTCGCTTCGTCTCATAAAATCATGTATAGTAAGCTTAAATCTCTATCTTCTATCTTTTGTATTGTCTAAAAAATCTTTAAAAGTTTCTAATTATATATATTGTTTTTGTGGTATTCTAATTATATATTTGATACAAAAAATTCAAGAACTTTTTAAAATGAATTGTGTTTTTAGAAATTACATGGAGTAGCTAGTGTGAGAAAGTCGTTAATTATTAACATTAAGGATACTTTTGTTAGAAAAATAATATTTTAAAAGCGTGAGGTTAACCAGAAAAAAATCTCGAATTTAAACAAATCACTAGACAAATCACCAAACAAATAATAATAATAATAATAATAATAATAATAAATTAAAATGAATAAATAGAAAGAATAAGAAAATTCATCGCAGGATCGTTCGTTAAGACGGACTGGTCTTGAAGAAAAATAGCCTTGTATCCCAATAGCTATTCGGACGGGGTCTACCTAACTCGCTTCTAAGATAATCCTACTCTGTTTCAGACTTGTAATTACCTTGACTGAAACCTTCGACCGTTGCCCCAATTGCCTTTAAAAGAGATGACCCAAACTATGAAACAATTATAGACCGGCTATGAACCTGATAAAGCTTTGTTCCAATGGAAGAATCGAAACACTTGAAAAGAAGCACACGTATGGAAAATCAGAAAAGGAGCAAGTACCCGCACGGGTAGCTCAGTTGGTTCAGTGGTGGGAAATTTGGACCAAATGATCAAGGTTCGAAACCCGCAGCGGCCGTGTGGAGGTCACAGAACCTGAAATAAGGCTAGGCCTCTGGTGCGCACGGGAAAAAGACCTACCATCATTGGGTTGACTGAATCACCGTGATTAACATCCTCCCAAAAATCATGTCGGGTCGGGGTATGGGAGGCTCCTGGGGTGGGAGATTCCACTTTTTGGACCAAGAAAAGGAGCAAGTGCTTATGTGCTTTTCTTTCTTTTGCACTTAGAGGAGAAGGAAATTAAAGCAGTAATTGTTTTTTGATGTGTACGTATTATCTCAGGGAGAATGGTCTGAATGGATAAGAGCATCTCCATTCATGATCTTAAAATAAATGGTTTTTCTATTACACATCATTGCCACATCACATTTACTCAATAGATTTTAAACAATCTCAAATCTTAATACTCTTCATCATCCATGATACTCAAATAATTAGTGTTTCTACACCATGCATTAAATGCAAGTTTAACTACAACCTAAAATAATCTGGGATCCTAATCATGATATCGGATTTTCTTTTTCAATAATCTCTTTTAATAATCTTTCACTCACAATGATAATATTTCAAATAATCTTCCACATCATTCAATTAAACCTCAAATAATCTATTGGATGGGGATGCCCTAATGAGAACCATAATACGTAGTATAAACATAGTAACATACGAATGGGTAATGACTGTTCCGTGGTACTCTGTACGTTTTAATGATCCTTAAACAAGTGTTGACCAAACTTTATTAGCAATAGTTCAAATTCAAATTTTTGAAACGTCCAGATGCAGTTTTAAGATCATATCATAAACCATAATGGTTGTCCAGAAATTAAATGACCTTTTAACTTGAGACATTTTGCCATATACTTTTAGATCATCTCGAGCGGGCTGAGCATCATCTCGAGCGGGCTGAGCATATGAAATAATATTTCAAGCTACTTACATGATACTTGAATGATATTCCTCATCACATAATATTTTATTAAGAGACCATATATTAATGATATAGGACAATAATTTACCATTTTAGTATTTCACTTTACGACTTTTGCAATTATGGATTCTATTCATCAAATGAAATAAATCCAAGCATGAAAGTTGTACTTTGATAATAAGTCACTCCCATAAGCATTTTAAGGAAAAAGGGGTAAATAAGCCCACGTACTAACAAAAAAAAGTCAAATAAGCTCTTATATAGGAGGTTCTGTCCGGCCGTCGCCATTTGGGGCAGTTCCCGGTGGAATTTTTTGATAAACTTTTTTGAGAATCTTATTCATTAAGTCTAGTTTACTCACACCAAATTTCAGCTAACAATTCAATTGGGAATGCATAATAAAATCTTGAAGATAACTGCGCTTTTAACGGCACAGTTATCTTCAAAAATTCATTTGAATGTCATCTTGTTTGACGTTTTAGCTAAAATTTGATATGAGTAAACTAGACTTAATGAATAATATGCTCAAAAAATTGCATCACAAATTTCCACCGGGAACCGCCCCAAATGACGACGGCCGGACATAGCCTTCCATATAAGGGCTTATTTGATCTTTTTTGTTGGTATGCGGGCTTATTTGCCCCTTTTTCCGCATTTTAATAACCACATATTTAATTTTTTGATATAGCATAGTCCCAAAATCTCAAATCTTCTGTGTAGCTCCAATCCTCGGATGTGTCACAACGTTAGCTAGTAGATTAAACTCTATCTAGGGGAGGAATCGGTCCGGTCCGAGTCGGGGTTTTTCTACAGTCGAAAATAACTCGTAAGATCTCGCGTTATAAAAATTAGAGAACAAAACAAGGCACCTTGTATTTGGTCAAAGTCGGTTTTTTATAGCCCGGGTTCAAGTATAGGCTGGTTAAAGTCCGAACGAGAAATGATCACATTACCTTTTTATATTATAAACTTATTTTCAAATAAAATACTCAATTATACAGATTATAAATAATAACATAACTACTCTGTATTATCCTCCAAAATGACCAGTAACTCAAATCCAAACTAAATACTCCGTAATTTGTCTTACTTTGGCGGTCATGGCTCGTCTTCTGCTGTTGTTTTTGGTCGACATGCGAGGGTAGACAAAGAAAAGACGGATACATTGTGGCGGAGTTTGGGTTTGATTCAGCAGCAAGGGATATCAATCGAGTATATCGTCAATCAATACAAAAGCATGGCTATTGAGGCAGATGAACGGCGGGCTCGTACCCCTCCCGAGCTGCCACCATGGAGTACAAGAGAGTCTAGGGTTGGAAGAAGATCAGATGTATGAATTCTGTTTTAAGTCTGTTTTATCTTGTTTGTGATTTTCTTTCGAATTGCATATTGTTTTCGGTGTGCTCTTATTTCCTAGCAGAAAGATTCTAGAATTTATGTGAGGTGATGAGAGGTCTGATTTGCATGTCATTGGCTCAATTAAGCCCATTACAGGATCAACAATTTGTTTGCTTCTACAAATGTGATAGATTCTAAGTTTGATTCAAGGGCGGATCGACGGCTGACAAAAGTCTTTTTATCGTTTTGTTTCCTGTTTTTTCTCTGATTGTATTATCAGCCAAGTGAAGAACGTTTTGTTGATTTAATATATTTGTTGGTTTAACAATAAAAAAACATTTGTATGTATCTACTTCGTATTTATCATTTATGCAATGTTTTATATCGAATTCTTAATTACTCTGTTTTATGTTAAATCAAGCAAAAGATATGCAGGACATAGTTGTCGGTATGACATTTTTTTAGAAAAGTTATGACATTTTTGTTAAGAATTGAGTTTTGATGAAAATGAAGAATGAATTAGTATTTGCATGTGGAAGGGTGTTATAGGAAATGCGAGGCAATTACTTACATACACGATTGTTCTACATAAATGGAGAAAAGGAAGGCACCGTCGCCGCAGATTCACCCGTTCATACATCGCTCTTCTCTTCTCTTCTCTTCTCTTCTTTCTTCCTTCACTATCTCGCTTAAATAAAACAATTATTATTCGATCTTCATATATGATTCTATGCATATTCATATAAATACGACATTCAAAAGCTTGAGGTTAGTTTCTTTCTCATCTCTCTCTTTATGCATTTATATATTTATTTACTCCGCATCTAATATTATTGCTTCAAATGAAATATGTTACGTTTTGTATTTA